TGCACTTCATTTAAATCCACTTGATTAAATTTCGCAGTGAATCAATATCGATAATTATCGGTTGCATCGTCTATAATCGAAAGTACGAACAGTAGGATCTTCAGCCTTGGCCTGCGTTCCATTCATTTTGCGCACACCATTTTCCATGCTGGCCTTATCAGACAACGGAGCCAAGTGGTATGCAAAAAGAAAGAAATTGGTCAAAGTTTAAAGAAATGACTAACACTTGGGTGTGGCAAAAAGGCGGCAAATAAATCGACTTCAATATATCAAAGACTTACATTTCAATTTTTTTCAAATTTCCTGCCATTTAAATGCACTCCTTCGGCCAAGTGCCCAGCGACAGGATTCCATTTGCCCGCTCGCAACGCCCAATGCCCACCCATTGTTATGGTTGTGTTGGTAAATGATGCGCAGCGCGTTGGTGTGGGCGTGGGCGTGGCATTGCTGCAGAAATTGTGCCAGGAATTGAAATTTTCTTTTTTAACAACAGACCGACCAACGACGGCAAAGACGACGCAATTCTTTAGCATTTTATTTCAATTTTTTCATTTTTTTTTCTATCTTATTTTGCATTTTTTAGAGCTGAGAAGTGAGTAAGTGAGCGAGCGAGCGAGCGAGCGAGCGAGCGAGAGAGAGAGAGAGAGAGAGAGCGGAAGAGTGAAGTGGGGAGACAGCGCAAGTGTACAGCACATTTACTGCCTCATCTATTTAATACCATAAATAATTGCATCTAATTAAATATGCTCAAATGAAAATGTCCGCTTTTTTTTCTGCCATTTTTTAAATATATTTTTTTGCCTTTGCCGCTGTCGCTACGTGCTCTGCCAACGTTGGCTGCAGTTGACGCGTGATGGAGCGAATGTCATTCGAAATGAAATTCAAGTTCCAATTTGGACCAAAGAACGAACGACAGCAACTGAAGAGACACTGGGCGAGAGAGAGAGAGAGAAGCGTGGGCGAAGGCCAGCGCAAAGAAAAAAGAAATGTATTCCAGCCGGTGGCGGGCGACTGGCAGATACTCTGTACACAGCACCGAGAAGCTTTTAAACTTACTTCGATTTCGAGGAAATGCGGCTAACTGTCTACTGAAAGACGGACGGACGGACGGACAGACACACCGAACCGGCTAGATCGATTCAGTAATTGCTGCTGGCCAAGAGAATTATGGATTAACGGTTTGAAGATGCCTACTTCCACTACCCGTTACATACATTTGCACTAAAACATAACACTCTTTTATTTTTGGTTGTAGGGTATAATTAAGTAGCAGCGCGCGCGAGAAAAAAAGACAGAATTTAATAGTTTTCAATTAGGAATCGTTTGCAGCCTTTGCTTTTGCGCCCTTCCTTTTTTTATGGCACACACTTGACGCCACAGCAGCAGCAGCAGCAGCAGCAGCAGCGGTAGCAGCGGCGGCAGCAGCGCTGCCATAGCCGACGTCCTTTGCTGGCGATGGCCGCTGTCACTTTTCTTTGCTCCGGAGAAGTGTCAAGCAAATGAAGTCACGACTCGCCGAGTCGCCGACTCGCCGACTCGCCCCGCAGAACCAGTTATTTGTTTCGCTGTTTTGTGTTGTTTCCTTTGCCGCTGTTTCTGTTGCTTGCGTGTTTTTAATTCAACGTAAATTTTATTTTATTTTAATTTCGCTGCAATTCTTTTAATACAGGCGCACACGCACACACGCACACACACACACACACACATACACATATACATACACATCCCTCCCTCCATTTTCGCCCATTCTGCCATTTTTATGAACCCCAGCAGGAAAATCGAGCACTGACAGTCGTGCCGGCAGCGGCGCGAGCGGCTTTTATGAAAATGACACGCTGTGCATTTGCTTACGTGACTCTTATTTAGCCGTTGGCTTTTTCTTATTTTTCTTCTTTTCTCTTTTCTTTTTGTTTTTGAAGTACTTGTAATTATTGCACACATCGCTTTAATTAAACACTATTTCGCCAAAGCATAAGCGAGAGCTTTATAGACACGCTAAATACTATTGCCTACTTTTGTGCGGGCAACGTTATATATTCTCATAGCTGCCACTATGCGTAACTCGTATAAAAAACATTATGGTATACAAAAAAAAGAATGATATATTCAATATAAATTTAAAGACGTTCGAATGAATTGAAATTTATTTTTTTCATAAATATTCGGTATGAAATTATCATGAATAATAACGAACTATGAGAAAGTCGGCAATTTCTGCTTATTTATTGAAAACTCTAACCAATTATTTATAAGAATGGAAATATGGTACTATGGATGGTTTTTTCTCGACATACACCACATATAACAACCATATTTCCACTAAAATGTAGTTTTTCACTTTCTTTTGGCAACTTCATGAAGATTGGATGCAGATGAAACTAACCACAATACGATATTCGATTTCATAAATTGAACTGCTTCAAGTACTTGAAACAAACTTTAGAGCAGCCCACAAGCTTAGCACTTTTCCTTACACGGATCTTTATGGAGGCTAAGCTGCCGCTATATGGCAACCCTGAACCCTGCCCACTCTAGTGTGGCAACACAATCAATGCAAGGGCGAAAACAAGTCAAGACAGTTACTTAAATAACTTTGCAGCAACAAAGCAAGGCGGGGGCGGGTAGATGGATGAGTGGGGCTCCCGCCGGAAGTTATTGAGTACGGCAAAGGCGCGACCTAAAACATCAACAACAACAATAACAACAAGAACGAGTCTGAAACGGCGTTTGGCGCTGCCACCTGCCGTCACCATTGGCTGGCGTGCAAAATTTGTGTTCGATGAATTTATTACTTTTGATGTTCAAACACGAAAACTGCTGCAGGCCATAAAACAAGCAGCGAGCGCCAAAAACTTAAGGACAAGCGCCAAGGCCAAGCCAAGCCAAAGCCCAAGGAGTACCCAAAAGCCAGACTCAAACGCCAAATAGTAGAGGGCGGCTGAACAGAGTTTGGAACAGCAAATGCTATTAAAAGTTTACATGTCTCAATAGAGTGTTAAGAGATTAGTTGGCATAAAATATTTGGAGAATTCCAACCAAAAGGCAGGCGGCCTTGTTGAAAAGTTAAGAGCCGGTTGACTGTGCACGCCCTGCAGCGGGGCGGTAGCCCCAGCCAAGGTAGGGGGTAGGTAATTTGGGTGATTTTAGGCTGTAATTTCAAATAGGTGGAGTTGAAATCGTTCCAAATTCAAATTAAATAACATTTTAGCAAAATGTATTACGTAAAAGCAAATTCAATATGCAGCTACGCTTTTTTATGTACATTTAAGTGAGGAAATTTATCATTATTTCTTGTTGTTATTATGTAAACTGGGCCACAATTACTTTATTCTTTAAATGATGACAACAACTTTATTGGACCTATATTAATATATGAATATATTCTTGAATCTATCAGTAGGCGTTGAATCTATCATAAACACAGCACTGAAGTAACAGAAATATTTATTAAATTAAAAAAAATTAAAAGGATCAAATATTTAAATACATACATACATGAATGTATTTAAATACATAGAAACCAAAATGCATACATACGATATAAATAAATGTTACTTTTCTTTTATATATTATGTTTCAAATACGTACCATTTTGTTATAATTGATGGCGCCTGCACCGCCAAAGCCACAGCCACTGCCTACTCCATTGTTCAAATCGCCGACTCCTTCATAGTTGAGGCCGCCGTCTCCTCCTTTGTTCAAGCTGCCGTCGCTGCCTCCAATATTAATGCGGCCGCCTCCTCCTATATTGAAGTGAAGCCTATAAGCATATAAGCCTTCATGAGAATCGCGTAGTACGGCATAATCAAGAATGCGTTTCCTTTTTAAATTTGCACACCAGCATATATACATGTACATACACACATACATACATTTATTTATTTATTTATTTATTTATTTATTAATGGTCGACAAGGAAGACACTCGTCTTCCTAATTATTCAATACATTATATATACAATTATGAAAATTAAATGCTAAAAGCCTAGTTAGAGAACACAATTTTCTAATAGCATCACCGACCGATGGAGGTGTTTTATTCGCCAGTCCGGCTAGCTGTGCCCCTTTTCACAGCCCCTTTTATCAGTGACGCTATTAGAGCCTACATCTAAGAAGAAGGGTGTAAGTAGGAAAAAGTGTTCTTAACTAAAATTAAAAATAATCTTAATTTGCTATATTATTTAAGAATATACCATAAATAGGAGAAAAGAAAGTAAGATGATTGTTAATAAAGTAAAGAACTGTATGCTAGATATATAGAGTGTTAAGTAGATAGATATGTGTATGTAGTATGTAGATAGAAATGCATCCATGCATCCATGCACATAAATACATACATACATGCGTACGCATACAAACACGTATATATACACACATACATATGCGTACATAAATATAGTGGATGCTCCCCGGTATTTAGATTTTCCGCTCTTGGAAAATTTACACCCGTACTATCTTGAGATTCACGTTTTAAGTAAAATTTGACTAAGATATTTGAAAATCAGTTTAAAATCCATTCCATTAAAAAGTAAAAGTCTCGGTGTTGAGTATCTTGAAGCCGAAAATAATCCTTCGTTTATGGTAACTATAGTGAAACTTTCAGCTTAAAATCTTACGGCTTGTGATGTGCGTTGATAACCAATTAGTCAGTCAGTCCGTCAGATAGAGATGAATAAGGTCAGCTTTCATTAACTTTGACCTAGACATTATTATAATAATAGTATTGACAAATTGTGATTGTAATCGCATAAGATATACAACGCATAGTGCCATAGCCATATAAAAAGTGGTAAAATAAAATTACTATGCTATTCTATATTATAAATTAAAAATTTAATCACAATGTATACCTACACATAATGGTCAACCTATAAACAAGATTGAACTATTTACAAGCTCGAGAAACAATGATATTGCATGCGAGATAAGTACTTGGGCTCGCCGGACTCATATATAAAGAGTGTGCTGGCTGTGAAGCAGTCGTCAATTTAGTTGGGACACCATGGCTAGTCTCTCGGGTCCGTTGGTTGTTGGACTGATGTTGCTGGTGTACGCCAGGGCCGAGGATAAGAGCTATAGCGTCGAGTTGAACTCGTTCGAGAAGAATAATAATTTCGAGAACGATAATAAATGGGTCGATTGGGGCACGCTGCGCATGAAGAAAGTGGGACGCAACAAGTATACCCTGCACGGGGATTTCGAATTTAAAAGGAATATGGGCGATGAGCAGAAGGTAAGACACTTTATTAATTATGTATAATCTCTATATATAAAACTGTTTGTCCTGACTGACTGACTGACTGACTGACTGACTGACTGACTGATTGGTGATCAACGCACAGCCCAAACAGTAAGAGCTAGGAAGCTGAAATTTTCACTGTAGCTACCTTATGTGATGTAGGTGCACGTTAAGACGGGGTTTCGGGAAATTCCACCCGCAAGTGTGGCAAAATCGCGAAAAACGTTTGTATGTATCTTTTTTGTTTACCATCCCATCGGCCTCAAACTTATTATCAAAGATCTTTGTTCAAATTCATTTGAGGGGTGTTTCACACTTTTAGGAAAATCCGTTCCTCCTTGGTGGAAATGGAGGTCAAAGATTGGGTGGGTGACGTTTCGCGCTCAAATTCATTTCCAGAGATCTATAAGAAAAACCATTTGATACGTGTTTCACACTTATCGCAGAATTCAAACTTCTTCGGGGGGAATGCGATTTAAAGATTTTTTGTGTGCGAAGTTTTAAATTGTGTCCGATTTGCGTTAAACCTATTTTCAAAGCTCTACATAAGAATGTAATGAATACGTGTTTCAGCGATTTGGGAAATTCCACTCGCAATAGTGGTAAATTGGCGGAAAACGTTTGTATGAAAGTTATTTGTTTACCGTCCGATCAGTTTGAAAAACAATTCAAATTTTTTTGAGAACATTGATTTTATAAAATACGTGCCACGGGCAAGGCCGGGCTATACCCGCTAGTATATTATATTTGTATATATATATTATATCTTATTAAACTCTTCAGCTATCGCTGCAAGTGTTCGCCTACGATGAGGGTGCCAAACAGAAAGGCCCCATGGTTATGAATGTGAACAAGCCATTCTGTCAGTTCGTCAACGAGGATGTGGACACATATCCGCATCTGCAAAAGAAGTCCAATATGCCCGAACAGGGCGACTGTCCATTTCCCAAGGGCAAGTACACAATAGATAACTACGAACTGGAGACCACCTTCCTGCCGGATGATGCGCCCAAGGGCGATTACCTATTGGAGCTTAAAATGTTGGATAATGATCTTGGTGTCGCTGGTCTTTTGGCCTCTGTCACACTAATCTAATGTCATCTATTAGTAATTTTTCTTTTGTTTACTTTTCTAATTTAAAATTATAATATTCTTTATTTTGGGTGGATCCATTTGGCACTGCGAGCGTTTTACATATATGTCTATTTCTTACTTAGCTTAAGCTTTGTTCTGACTTGTCAAATATAAAATACTTTCGCTTTCAAGGACCTAGAACTTAATGCAAGCTTTTCATTCCCAACTATTTAGGCAATTGGTGAAAATGTTATGTGTATACTTTTTAACCAGAACCAAGCTGCAATCCCGAGTGGAAATGGAATGAATTTTGGCTTAGTTGCAGAAGCTTGAGCATTGAGCTTTATAATGTCAGCAATCGGTTAAGACTTGGGACTACACTTCCAACATTTTAAGATAGTTATGATGTTTTTATATTCAGTCCCCCTTTTTTTTATATTTTTACTCCGTTGAATAGTTATAATGTTCCACAAGGAAATAGCTTTAGTTTTGGTAGTGGTGGTGGCGCATTTAGGGTGGAAAGCAAATTTGTCATTAAATATACAGAAGTTATCAGTTTCAAGGTTGCCAGAGGATTCACCGAGAAAGTTAAGAGGGAGCTTGAGAATTGAGAGGGTATCTGAAGAGTCTGGCGTCTGGTGTGGTGCAGAGCTTTGTCAAGTACTTGCATGCTTAAAATTCCAAATACAATTCACAAAAATTGGCGGGCACAAAATTCAGTTTCTGCATCAACACCTCGTCTAATTGAAATTCGCAATTGCAATTGCTGCCGTTGTCCCGTTATTTCACGCTGTGCCATTTGTCATTGACAAGCAGAGTGGCAACGCCCAGCATATGGCAAGGCTCTCCAAAAATACGCGCGCATAATGACAGCTGCCCCAGCATCCCACTCTCTCCCTCTCTCTCTCTCTCTCTCGGGCAGCACAGCATGCATAAAGGGTTGTGCATAGGGTTGGGTGCGGGGATCGGGTTTGGGGTTTTGGTTATGGCTTTGCAATGGGCTGTGTTTTTGCTAAAAATGATTATCTGTGCATTACAATCCATTGATTCCACTTAAGCACCGTTACAATTGCACACACTCGCACACACACGCAGAGACAGAGCGACAGCCACATGCGACACTTAATTAACAAATATGCATTACAAACACCCGCAACGAGCAGCAATTGGTTGGTCATGTCATCAGTTCGCCCACCCATAACCAGAAGCCCCAGACCCTGGCGGTCCCCCTCTGCCCTGCAGCACCCCTGCAGCAGCAGCATCCACAAACACACACACAAACATTCACATATTGTTGCACATTTGCATTGCCTATGCATGTGGATGGCTTTTTATTTGCCTCGTCAGCGTCAACCACCCGCGTGGCAGCAACAGCAGCCGTGGCAGCAGCAACCGTTGCCGCCATCGCCAGCAATTGGGGAGTTGTGTTGCATGTGTTTAATTGAAAAATCATATGCAGCTCGCATAATTATGTTTATTGCAATAATCTGATGCGAATTTTCAAAACACAAACTGAATGCTTTAGACGACAGCGCCCCAAGGCAGGCAACCTGGCAACCCTGCCAACACCTGACACCCCCGCTGCCGCCGCCACCGCACGCCACGCACTTTTGTGCTATCTGTTGCTGTTGCCTGTTGGCTGTTGGTGCACATTAAATTGCACTTGAAATTGCACATTTCAACGCCTACTGATTATGACAGATAATTATGTTATCGAGTGTTGCCACACGCAAGCGTTGCCCCTTTGTTCGCGAGCAGTTTGACGCATCCCAAGTCTCTGGATGCTAGCTGGGGTATCTTTTATGCATGCATATGAGTAGGTACACACTCACATAATACTAGCGGGCTTTTTCCGGCCTCGCCCGGGTCAAGTTATATGTTGCAACTTTAAGATGCCCCTTACAATCTACTTGAACTACCTTGAATTATATTCATGTAGATATTTGAAAATAAGTTAAATGTTAATTAAATTTTAAACGCAAGAGAGAAAACTTAGTACCGTGCGCTACGTGGAAAATTTGTACAATCTTGCTTATAGTAGAGCCTTAAACACGAGCTTGAAGATGCAAATTAAAATTTTCCTTGCATGTGAAAATTTGAAAAATATCTTTGAAAATAAGTTTGCGCCCGATCAGACGGTAAAAAAGTTTCAGACATATATTTTCCATGATTTTTTCGTACTTGCGAATTTAACCATTATTTATGCCACATCTCTTTACTATAGTAAAAAATGTATCAGTTGCCTAGCTTTTACGGTTTTGCTAATTACCAATTTGACTAATTGTCAGTCGGCTCAATCAGTTTTTTATATATAGATAATGCAGATGTCGATATATAAGCCAATCTACGCAATTTTAGAAGTAACAATTAGTAATAAGTAAGTACTAATATAGAGGCTAGATATATTTATTCTATATACTATAGCAATATATATAATAGCTGATGTAATTAATATTTTGAAATATGTATTTGGTCTGCGACAATTCCCAGTTTAAGTGTACTTCATATTTCTCGTGCACTTTAGCATCGAGCTAAAGATTATCAATCTGTAAACTTGAACTTGGATCCAACGCCTTTGTAGGGCTATGGAAATGCTTGGACGATAAGAACCGTATATTTTTGACGCTCACAAAAACAAATAAATTTCATATTCTGATAACATTCTAAAAAATATTGTAATATTTTTGTTTTTATAGTATTGTTATATGCGGATATTTACGATATATTTGTTCGACTTTAAGCAACGGAGAAACGGAGCTCGTTACTTATGTAGACAACTCCATTTTCAAATGGTTCTATATAATATATATATGTATACACACACTCATATATATATTTATTTATACACAATTGCACTTTATACAATTAGTCATGTTTGTAATTGAATCTCACTTCAGAAATAATATCCAAATACATTTACATGTAAACAGTTAACATTTTAAACGGATGTGCTCAGGGCATAGCACACGATATAAAACATAGAAGTGCGCAGAAACGCGCTCTGTCTCTCTCTTACTCTCTCTCTTTCACACGCACACACGGTCTCCCTTTCTTATCAGTATATGTATATGTTATTAACATATACAAAAATATATTTTGAATTTGAATGAGCAAGCTCTCAAGAAAAAGTAAAACACAAAACTGATTAAGTCTAGAGTGCTAGAATAGCTGATACCCTGTAGCCGCATATTCAAATATCTGTATATACTTATGTATATATATTATAATATCATTAACATACATATATGCATAAGATAACACTCAAATACATGTGTCCAACTTTATATAAATATACATATATATATATATGTATATATATATATATATATATATATAGAAGACAGTCTTAAGTGGACCCATCGATATTTATTTTATTAATATCTAGAATTGCCTTATCTCTGTTGCGTATATCATATGTGCAGATACCCTTGTTACACACTTTTGTTAATACAGGGTATATCAAAGCGCAGCTTTTAGACCCTTGGTAGCAGCTGAGGCCAATTGCGAAATTTAGTTATGTTTCAGTTCACTTGCGCTTCGGTCACATTCTCAAGTTAAAAATGTTTTTCAAACAAATTGTATTATTATTTATGTTGATGCAAGCCATGGTGCGCGCTTTCGGAGTGGTATGTTATCCAGTTAAAGTATTATTAGGTTCATATAAACTATTATCTATTCTAATATCCTATTTTATGCTTGTCGTCAAGGACTTGCCAGTGACAAGCCTGAAGTCGGAGTTCAGCGTCAAATGTTTTGGAATAATGCAACCGCTGCTACAGGAAATTGCCGTAAAAAAGGAGAAAATTGATCGATTTGATGAGGTCATACAAAATAAAGAGAATAAGCTGGTCGAAACACAGATGAAATATGATCAAGTGCAAATAAAGCTCGCCGTGGCGGAGACTGCGCTGAGGGAGAAGGAACTCCAACTAGTGCAACAGCAGGATTTGTGCAACTCCCATAGAAACAACAGCAATGTGAAGGATGAGCTATTAAAGGCCTACAAGCTACAAGTTCAGGATAAAACCATCCGCATTGAGCAGCTGCTAAAAGATTCCAAAGAACAGGCCGAACTGCTCGACAGCTGCAAATTGCAGGCCAAGACAAAGGAAGCTCAAATAGAGCAGCTGCAGGAAGTGGCTCAAACGAATCAGCTAATACAATTGGCAGCAGCTAAGAACATGACTCAGAAGGAGGAGCTAATCCAGCAGCTGCTGTCCGATGCGAAGGAAGCCAAGGAACAGCTCGAGAGCTACAAATCCCAAATCAAAAGCAAAGATGAGCAGTTGGAGAAGCTGCATGCGGAAATACACTGGAATAACGTAAAAGTCCAGGAGCTGGAAAACAATCTGAAGAATAAGGATCAACAAATTGCCGAGCTGCATGCGGAAGTCAAAAGAATTTTGGATCAACGAAGTGCACTTGGATCGCAAGTCGATGCGAACGAGATGCAAATCGAACAAAAGCAATCGGAAATCAAGAATTTACAATCGGAACTGCATGAGGTGCAGGCAGAGCTATCGGAGTACAGGATCCAAATCGATAGGCTGCAATCGACAAATTGTCATTGGTTTGGCAACTCCTCCGATATACACAAGATACGAGCACCTGGCATCGATCCCTTTGAGGTGCTCTGCGATTCTCGACTGGCCGGGCCAGGCTGGACCGTAATACAGCGTCGCATTGATGGTAGCGAGAACTTTTATCGGAACTGGAGCGATTATCGCGCAGGTTTTGGCAGCTTGCAAGGCGAATTCTTCATCGGCATGGAGAAGCTCAACAGGCTGACCATGGCCCAGGCCCAGGAGCTGTACGTCCATCTGGAGACCTTCGATAATTCCTCCTACTTTGCCCGCTATGCGGACTTTAGCATTGGCAGCGAAAGCGAGGCCTACGCTCTGAAACTTTTGGGCTCCTACACGGGCAATGCGAGCGACGCCCTTTACTTTGCCAGAAACCGAAAGTTCTCCACTCATGACGTTGATAATGACAGGAGCGACGGAAACTGCGCGGAGCAGAAGCATGGCGCCTGGTGGTATGATCGATGTGGTCACAGGTAGGTCAAAGTTCAAATTTCGTTTAATTCCATCAGCTTAGTAAAACGTGTGTTCCATCTCTCTTGCAGCAACCTCAATGGTCAGTACTTGAAAGAGGCATCCAAAGATCCAAAGGGCATTTATTGGCTTGGTACACACGCCTTTTCCTTTAAGTCAGTGCAAATGATGCTGCGACCCAAGTCGGTTCAATATACCTAATAATCAGATAATGCCAACTAAAGTTAGTTTTAAATCATAATTTCATAAAATTGCTAAGACCATGAGAATAAAAGGCAGACGGAGGAATTTGTGCTTCCATAAGGTGCAAATCTATATATTCCTGATCAGGACTACAAACTAATCAATCGTACTTTACCCATTTTCTCTGCAATCAATATAGATTGATTTACAGCAGACGTTTTATAACCATATCCTGAAGATTATAAGACTTGTGGAAATCAAATATTTGTCTATCTATTTATCTATTTATACGTTTTCCTCACATTAAAAGTTGCATTGAACGTCCCTTCACATTTTTACCCCAATCAATTTAGATCGGTTTTCAGCAGACGTTTTATAACCATACCTTGGAGATTATACAAGCGGGAGATACCAAATTCGACACATAGTTTCTCGTACATGTAGAAGACAAATGTCGCTAGCGAAGTAAAACACAAAATTGTCTCGATACTTTTTTTTTTATTCGAGTGTTCGATAATGTTTTCTGTTATGGCTGTGGTCAGGCAGACACATATAAACACACATAAACTTGTGCTAAATGCAAAAATTCTAAAAACTCCTTGCCTCGTGCACCGCAGTATCGAAAGCGACCAACATAAATTTCTAGTGATTCTACTGTATGTTATACCGGACTTTCAAAATTTACCAGACCTTTTCAGCATCGGCTTCATAATATTAATAATCAAGTCGGCAGCTCGCCCCGACATCTGTAAACGCAAAAATTCTACAATGCGATTGATTGCAGGGTAATATAATCGGAAAATATCATGCCAAAGATATTAAACAATAATAATTTTTTATCATTCCTTGTCACAAGCGCTTATCACCCTTGTGGTACCCCCAAGAGCGATTTTGGTCCGGGGGCTTGAAGTGGCGTTTGTTGCCAAAACTATTTCAACTATTTTCCGTGTGTGCCCAAAAGTAGGCAATACAATTTTTATAAATGCAGTTGTGATTAGACACATTGGGTCCTTGTTTTAAATTGACAAACAATTGATTTTGCCTAGTCTTGTAGTTGATCGTCGCTTCATCGTCTGTCTCGTTGACCTGAACGTTACGCCAATCTGCCTTTCTTGGGCAATATATATTGAGAGTTTCGAAACCCTGGTCAGTAAAAGCTTGCGCAATTTGTGGTTTGGGGACGTTGGCATCAACGCCCTTGACGACAACCCTGTAAGGCTTTTCCTCCCTAAGTTGATGGTGCCAGAATTGACAGTTAAGTTTTGTCAAATGTCTTACAGCTGCTCGGAAAGCGTCAGAGTTTGCGGTATATATCCGTGATACACCGAACTTAGAGGTGCGAATGCTATAGTTGTTGGCACCCACGCACGAGTCTAGTGCTTGTTCCATGCCTGAGGGATTGTTGACTTGTGGTACACATATTGCTGGAGGCTTTGAGAGCGTTTTTGAGGATTGTTTGTTCCCGTTGCCAACAGCACGAGCTTCATATTCGTCGTCAGAACCGCTTTCTGACAATCCTTGCTCCATCATGTTGTCCGCTTCTTCGTCCAGAGCTGCAAAACGGTTTTTACTCAGTGCTGCTGCAGTCGAGGTGGATGCCGTGTCTTTGGCTACTTCCTTGTGCAGCTCAGCGGGCTTCGACTTAGCTTTCTGTATAGATTTAGAAGTGTTTATAACTCCTTTATGTTTTTTACTAGCAGGCAGGCCACGGTCTTGAAACGAGCACTTCGTCTTACGAGTTGCTGCTGACAAGATTTCACCCAATGTGTTGTCAAGTGACGTAGTCGAGGAAATGTTAGGCCCCACAGTTGCCGCTACATTATACGTAGATGTAGATGTCAAACTTGCTTGCGACATAGAGATAGTGCAGGTGACGCTGGTATCAGTGCTTGTTGTTACTGTCGGCCCAGTTATCACCCGATTTGGCAATAAGCTGTTGTTTTCCGCAGAAATGGATACTACGCTACTGCGGATTTGAGAGCGTAGAGTTTCAGGGCTTACCCCAGCTGCTTTTCTCATCTCCTCCAGTACAGCTTGCCTATTACTAGGTAGCGACTGATTCCATGAGTTATTGTCCATACCTTCAATTGTTATTATTTAGAGTCAAATAATGCAATTGTCGTCCACTTTTATAGATCAAAAGATAAGAATTAACGGAACCATCCTCTCGCTTGCGCAGCGCGCAAACTAAGCACCGTTTAAGTCTGGCTTATCTTAGGTAAAGTACCGCAATAAGCTGCCGCCACCGCAAGCAGTGGCTAAAAATAGTGCAAGAGCACAAACAGATAAAGAGGTAAAGAGATTGTGTTGATCACTTGCGAAAATAACTTGTCAAGCGCGCACGTCCGAATGCAACGAGCTGAGGAGCGAGACTGTGATTAACAGTTGGGTTGACATTTAGTAGTAGATTTCTTTTAGCTTTAGTATTATTTTTATGACATCTTGAAAAACAAAAACAAAAATTCATACAAGAACCTACTTTTCGACCGATTGCTCCTATGGCAGCTATATGATATAGTGGTCCGATCCAGCAGTTCCGACATATGTACTGCGTGCAACAGAAAGAGGCACTTCTCCAAAGTTTTATAAAGATAGCTTTAAAACTGAGAGACTAGTTCGCATAGAAACGACAGACGGACAAACGGAGATGCCTATATCGACTCGGCTGTTAATACTGATCCTGAATATATGTACTTCATGGGGTCGGAAATGTCTCCTTCTATGCGTTACACATTTTACGACAAAATTATAATACCCTCTGCAAGGTTAAAAAAAGAAACCTTTTTTTGTTGCGAAATATAAAGACTAAGTTTGAGTACTACAGGAAAAAACTAGTAAGAGGTTCTAGTCGGAGCTCCAGACTAGGGGATACCCTGAACCCTCTTATTCCCCAAATGCAGCTCGCGCTACGTGCTCGTTTTCTTACGTACTAATAAAGACAAATTAAAAAAAAAAAGTTTCCTTGGCAGGGTTCGAACTCGTAACTGACCGCATTACTTGCTGCCGCCTCTAATCAACAGCCACACCAGCCGAAAAAAAAAAATAGTTTCCTCGATAGGGTTCGAATTGAATAATTGAGTCTTGTTGCGCATGGACTAGGAGGACCTACAGCTAAAATTTCAAGTCTCTAGCTCTTATAGGTTCTGAGACCCTTGCGTTCAAATGACTTTTTGATTGTATACGATTATTCTATGGTACAATAAGATGTACTTTAGAAAATTTCATCAAGATCGGCAAAGAAACACAGAAATGATTAAATAAAACGTATTTTGACTTTTCTCCTATCAGCGGCAGAAAGCGCAAGTTCCAAGAATTTCTGTATACATGTACACACAAACATTCATGCGCGTCTTCCTTGAATTCAATCAACAGCATTGCAATTGCGATTGTATTGTTTTCTGTGCTGCTATTTTAATTCGTTTTTTTCTCACTAAGACTCAATATTTGTTGGCTGTTGGGTAGAGTGTAGTAGTAGTGGTCTGTTGCTACTTCTACCTACCTACCGAGAAAGCGCTTTTTTCTTATATTTTTTACTACTAAAGTAAACGAGCGCGTAGCGCGAGCTGCATTTGGTGTTCGAAGAAGAGGGTTCAGGGTATCCTCTAGTCGGAAGCTCCCGACTAGAACCTCTTACCTGTTCATCCTGCTATTAGTATATATATATATATATACTAGCGGGTATAACCCGGCCTTGCCCGTGGCACGTATGTTATAAAATAAACAAACTTAAAATTCACCAAAAAAAACTTTGAAATGCATTTTCCACCGAAGGAGTTTCGATTTTGCGAAATATGTGAAACACGTCTCAAATGATTTTTCTTATAGATCTTTGGAAATAAATTTGAACACAAAACGTCTTCCACCAAATCTTCGACCCCCATTTGCACCAAGGAGAGGATGGTAAACAAAAAAGTTACATACAAACGTTTTTCGCGATTTTTCCACACTTGCGGGTGGAATTTCCCGAAACCCCGTCTTAACGTGCACCTACATCACAGAAGGTAACTACAGTGAAAATTTCAGCTTCCTAGCTCTTACGGTTTGGGCTGTGCGTTGATCACCAATCATTGAGTCAGTCAGTCAGTCAGGACAAACAGTTTTATATATAGAGATAATTGCATGTATATCAAAACATATATATATATACTAGCGGGTATAGCCCGGCCTTGCCCGTGGCACGTATGAAATACATTTTCTCAAAATTTAAAAATGATTTTGACACTGATCGGACGGTAAACAAACAACTTGCAGACAAACCTTTTCCGCCAATTTACCACTGTTATGGGTGGAATTTCCCCAATCGCTGAAACACGTGTTCATTAGTTACTTATGCAGAGCTTTGAAAATAAGTTTGAAGCAAATCGTACAAAAATTAACACGACCAAAAAATCTTTAAATTGCACTTTCCATCGAGAAAGCTTTCATTTTGCCGAAAATGTGGAACACGTCTCAAATGATTTTTTATGTAGATCCATGGAAACAAATTTGAGGGCGAAACGCCACACACCAAATCTTTGACACCTATTTGTATGAAATAGCCATCAAATGAATTTGAACAAAGATCTTTGAAAATGAGTTTGAGGCCGATCGGATGGTAAACATAAAAGTTTCATACAAACGTTTTTCGCGATTTTCCCATACTTGCGGGTGGAATTTCCCGAAACCCCGTCTTAACGTGCACCTGCATCACAGAAGGTAACTACAGTTACAGCTTCCTACCTCTTACGGTTTGGGCTGTGCGTTGATCATCAATCAGTCAGTCAGTAAGTTGGGACACAGATATACAGATATTTGAATATGCGGCTACAGGGTATTAGCTTTTCTAGCACTCTAGACTTAATCAGTTTTGTGAGTTACTTTTTTTGAGAGCTTACTCATTCATATTCAAAATATATTTTTGTTTATATTAATAACATATACATATACTGATAAGAAAGGGAGACTGTGTATGCGAGTGAAAGAGAGAGAGAGGGAAAGAGAGACAGAGCGCGTTTTTGCGCACTTCTATTATTTATACGTATTTCTATATCAAGTGCTATGCCCTGATCACATCCGTTATATTGTCTTTGACAAAACGTTCCACGGGCACGGCGGAGCTATACCCGCTAGTATTTATATATGTTATTATACCGTTGGCATAAACATATGCATAAGATACCATACACACATGTGCCCAACTTTATCAAATAGGATAGGTATACTATTATAATTAAAGCTACAATTTCGTTTCAGTCCTCTTCAGAAAATAAAAATCCAACAATCTGATTTTCCTGCCTTCGGTTTAAATGAACTCTAGTATTTTATTTTGTATTTTGCAAACATACTTAAATAATTATAAATATACTTAAATAGATATTAGATTTACAGCTATGTTGGATTAGAGAAGACAGTCTAAAGAGGACCCTTCGATATTTATTTTATTTATTTATAGAATTGCCTTATCACTGTTAGGTATATCACCATATGTGAAGATACCCTTTTTACACACTTTTGTGAATACAGGGTATATCAAAGCGCAGCTTCTAGACCCTTGGTAGCAGCTGAGGCCAATTGCGAAATTTAGTTTTGTTTCAGTTCACTTGCGCTTCGGTCACATTCTCAAGTTAAAAATGTTTTTCAAACAAATTGTATTATTATTTATGTTGATGCAAGCCATGGTACGCGCTTTCGGAGTGGTATGCTATTCAGTTAAATTTTTTTTTTTTTTGTTTTGTTTATTGTATTGGATCAAAATAGCATACATACATTTTTATAACAACACAGTTGGTGAGGTTTCGCCAAGCCTGTTTGAGTCCTCAGGCTTTATCGTGGACAAAAGTCAAAAGCGACTTTTTTGAATAAGGCTGCATCGTCACTTGGGTAGTCGGTAGACTCTGGGGCGTCTCCTGTGTCGTGGTCGCCCTCCCCTGAACTCAAATTGGTGATCAGGAAGGATGGCCATGTGATCCATAAGCCTTGCAAGTCGGGCGACAAACCGTCTTTCCCAGACTTTCGACAAGGAAGGCAGGACTTATGGATCATATGGATCCTCGCTGACTTTCACTGGGTAGGGAAGTGTTGCGTCCTTAATATGGCGTTGAAAATCAACGTTATAAAATGGAGCACGCAGATGGGACCGATAAGTGGTGACATCTGAGCTTTTCTGAAGAGGCCGAGTTGAAGTTTCTGACAGTAGAATTATTCCGATGGCCTCCAGCTCTAGCTGTTCTCTCAGCAGTCTATGTAGCCTAGCTTGCGCTGGTCCTTCTCGCTGGTTAGAGCTCGGGCGTTGTTCTCTGTGCTGAATGCAGCTAGTCCTCTTCTGGTGGCATGTGGTAGGGCCATGAACTTTATTGCTGCGGCTTCGGTTAGCTTGAGTCGGTGGGAGATTTTTCATTTTGGCGGGCTTTGGGGTTCCCGCACGATTTGGTTATTCGGTGAACCACTCGCAGCCCTTATAGTTGGCATGGTGGTTACCACCGCAGTGGGCGCATGTTGCCGGAACTGAGTCGGGCCGTGTGCAATCAGCAGAGCAATGATTGAGGCCGCATTTAACGCATTTGTGTTGTTTCTACAGTAAGTGCCCGTACTCCTGACATCATGCTTACCCATTACTATCTCTTTGTCCTATCTACTTAACACTCTGTATATCTAGCATACAGTTCTTTACTTTATTGACAATCTTCTTACTTTCTTTTTTCCTATTTATGGTATATTCTTAAATAATATAGCAAATTAAGATTATTTTTAATTTTAGTTAAGAACACTTTTCCTACTTACACCCTTCTTCTTAGATGTAGGCTCTAATAGCGTCACTGACAAAATTAGCTGTGAAAAGGGGCACAGCTGGCCGGACTGGCAAATAAAACACCTCCATCGGTCGGTGATGCTATTAGAAATTTGTGTTCCCTAACAAGGCTTTTAGCATTTAATTTTCATAATTGTATATAAAATGTATTGAATAATTAGGAAGACACTCGTTTTGTCGACCACTAATAAATAAATAAATAAATAAATAAATAAATGGCATTGCACCACATCCTGGCTTCTTCGAGCAGTCTCAACCTTGACCACCTGCTTGCACAGCTTCCTGATGGTAAGAGCCTCCTTGTTGTTGACCGCCGGCACAAGTTAATGAAGTGGATATTCATGGGCTCGTTGGTAGCTTTGCTGCTCGGATTGTGTACGTGGAGAACGGTATGGCCCTGGCTCCGCAGGTCGTCGATGAGCTCTCGGTTGAGAGTAGAGTGGTGGAGGCCTTTGATTACTATGCGGTAGGGCTTCTCCTCCTGCAGCTGGTATAAGTAGAACTCAATTTTATGTTCTTCCAGTATCTGTATGTGGGCACATCATTGGCTAGGAGTCGCATAGTCCTACCTAGGTTGGATTTGATGGTCAAGCTATCCACTACTTCGGATAGTATGAGCCACACGTCGTTGATGTCGTCGATGCGATTTAGGACGATGGGGGGTTGCTTCTTTCCTCCAGTGGGGGCATTGTTGTTGGCCCTTTTTTCGGGCACGGAGGAGCTGGTGCTGGCATGGGCGACAGCGTTGGGCTGGCTGCCGCCCCCAACCTGAGGCAGGCTAGTTCTCTTCTTGGACTGGGTTTATCTGCTCGCCCTCAGATTCGTCAGTATCCATGTCTTCGTTATTATCGGGTGCGGCCAAGAGTGCATATCTATTGGGAGCACGAGTGCCAACTGGACTGGTGTCAGTCTTGTTCTGCTTTCGCCGCGCGGCAGGTGGGCACGTGCTGTCTAAGACTTTGCGCTTATTATTTTTATTTGTCGCCTGCTCGGATCATTCGAGCCGCGGCTGCGGCAGTTGAATTGGGTTTGACGATATCTATTATACCCACTAGGGCGTCAACGGGGTCTCTATTCACACTAGCACCAGCATATGGGCTGCTGGCAGGGTCTTCGGAGTCCATTAAAGGGAAGGAAGGTGAAACTGAGAATTCATTGGCAGCTGTTGTTAAGCGGCTGTTAAGCATTGAGGTGCTCGGCGGCGTAGCGGCGACAGCATTCAGTTAGCCTACCTCGTTAGTTGGAGATCTCGTTAGTTACTCATTGTGGGTGCATTGCTGTTCTCAGCACTCACTGGAATGGTGGCTCTATTGGCATTGCCACTGGCTGGATGCATGTCAGTACGGCAGACTGCCGCAGACGACTTGCTCAATTTGTTGACCACCTTATTTTTAAAACAAATTGCTTTGTCGGCAAGTAGTTTAGTTTTAATTTTAGCCTTTTTTGTGTTTTTTTTTCTTTTCTATTTGTTATTGGGTCAGAATACTTGATGCGTTGCGATCTTTGTGCGGGATTGCAAAAGCCGCGTTTGGCCGTTTGGGCGTGCACTCGAATTTTGATTTTTAATTTTATTCCGCGAGCACGTCCGTTCACTTCGAACACCAAGAAGTGTCTAGTTAAATTATAATTAGGTTCATATAAACTATTATCTATTCTAATATCCTATTTTATGCTTGTCGTCAAGGACTTGCCAGTGACAAGCCTGAAGTCGGAGTTCAGCGTCAAATGTTTTGGAATAATGAAACTGCTGCTACAGGAAATTGCTGTAAAAAATGAGAACATTGATCGATTTGATGAGGTCATACAAAATAAAGAGAATAAGCTGGTCGAAACACAGATAAAATATGATCAAGTGCAAATAAAGCTCGCCGTGGCGGAGACTGCGCTGAGGGAGAAGGAACTCCAACTAGTGCAACAGCAGGATTTGTGCAACTCCCATAGAAACAACAGCAATGTGAAGGATGAGCTATTAAAGGCCTACAAGCTACAAGTTCAGGATAAAACCATCCGCATTGAGCAGCTGCTAAAAGATTCCAAAGAACAGGCCGAACTGCTCGACAGCTGCAAATTGCAGGCCAAGACAAAGGAAGCTCAAATAGAGCAGCTGCAGGAAGTGGCTCAAACGAATCAGCTAATACAATTGGCAGCAGCTAAGAACATGACTCGGAAGGAGGAGCTAATCCAGCAGCTGCTGTCCGATGCGAAGGAAGCCAAGGAACAGCTCGAGAGTTACAAATCCCAAATCAAAAGCAAAGATGAGCAGTTGGAGAAGCTGCATGCGGAAATACACTGGAATAACGTAAAAGTCCAGGAGCTGGAAAACAATCTGAAGAATAAGGATCAACAAATTGCCGAGCTGCATGCGGAAGTCAAAAGAATTTTGGATCAACGAAGTGCACTTGGATCGCAAGTCGATGCGAACGAGATGCAAATCGAACAAAAGCAATCGGAAATCAAGAATTTACAATCGGAACTGCATGAGGTGCAGGCAGAGCTATCGGAGTACAGGATCCACATCGATAGGCTGCAATCGACAAATTGTCATTGGTTTGGCAACTCCTCCGATATACACAAGATACGAGCACCTGGCATCGATCCCTTTGAGGTGCTCTGCGATTCTCGACTGGCCGGGCCAGGCTGGACCGTAATACAGCGTCGCATTGATGGTAGCGAGAACTTTTATCGGAACTGGAGCGATTATCGCGCAGGTTTTGGCAGCTTGCAAGGCGAATTCTTCATCGGCATGGAGAAGCTCAACAGGCTGACCATGGCCCAGGCCCAGGAGCTGTACGTCCATCTGGAGACCTTCGATAATTCCTCCTACTTTGCCCGCTATGCGGACTTTAGCATTGGCAGCGAAAGCGAGGCTTACGCTCTGAAATTGGGCACCTACACGGGCAATGCGAGCGACGCCCTTAAATATGGCAGAAACGGAAAGTTCTCCACTCATGACGTTGATAATGACAGGAGCGATGAAAACTGCGCGGAGCAGAAACATAGCGCTTGGTGGTATGATCGATGTGGTCACAGGTAGGCTAAAGTTCAAATTTCGTTCAATTCCATCAGCTTAATAAAACCTGTAATCCATCTCGCTTGCAGCGATCTCAATGGTCCGTACTTGAATGAGGCATCCCAATATCAAAAGGGCATTTATTGGATTGGCACACACGACTTTTCCTTGAAGGCAGTGCAAATGATGCTGCGACCCAAGTCGGTTCAATATACCTAATAATCAGATAATGCCAATAAAAGCTAGTTTTAAATCATAATTTCATAAAATTACTAAGACCACGAGAATAAAAGGCAGACGGAGGCATCTTTGCTTCCATAAAGTGCATATACATATATATATATTCCTGATCAGGGCTACAAACGAATCAAATCTTACTTTACCCATCTAGCCACCTATCTATGTGATTTTCCTTCATTTATGATTTGAGTATAAGTCCTTTTATCATTTTTGCCCCAATCAATATATATCGATTTTCAGCACACGGCTTATAGCCATATCTTGGAGAATAAAGGGCTTGTAAAAACCAAAAACCAAATATTTGCCAAATATTTATGCGTTTTCCTCACATTAAAAGTTGGATTGAAAGTCCCATCACATTTGTCCCCCAATTAATATATATCGATTTTAAGTAAAATTTTTTTACTATACCCGGGAGATTATAAGAGTATATTAATGTAGAATGGAACGAGATACACTTATACATACTGCTTAAAGAGTAGACACATTTAATGCCTATAAGAGATATTCTTACTTGTAACTTATCTCTATATATCAAACTGACTGACTGATTGATGATCAACGCACAACACATACCGGAAGTGCTAAGAGCCTATCATTTTCAATGTAGTTACCTTATGTGATGGAGGTGCACGCTGAAATGGACCTATATCTAAAATATTACGCCTTAAATTTGCCGGGGGCATTCAATTACAGATTCTCGTAAGTACAAAAATATCGATTTATACTGGGATGTATCGCGCCCAAATGTGGCCACAAAAATATGTACACTCACCTGCAGTGACATACACTAAAGCATCAGCGACATGTATATGTCTTCATGTATGAACGTTTGTATGTATGTATGAGATTTGTGTATGTATGCAAGTGTCTACGTGCATGTGTGTGTGTATGTCTGTTTGTGTATATGTTATATGCTTGCTTGTATGTATGTGGGTATACATGTACTTTTGTTTGTATGTTGGCCGTTATGTATGTATGAAATGTATTTAAAGGTTTGCATGTTTGTGTGTATTTGTGTATGTTTGCATCTGTGTATGTTTGGTATGTACGTATTATATGGTATGTTTGTAAGTGCGTATGTCATATACATAGGTATGTATAAGTAAACTTGGATGTTTGTATAAATGAATGTTTGTATTATTGTATGTGAATTAATGTATGCATGTGTGTACGCATTTGTATATGTAAATGAACTTATATGAAGTATGATCAAATGCAAGAGGAAATTAAAAAAAAGAATATATTCTTGCCCTACGATGCGATTCCCATTTGTCCTTGGTGAATATGGGGATCAGAGATTTGCTGGGTAAAGTTTCGGGTTCAAATTAATTCTGAATATCTTTAAAAAAGCCCTTTTTCATCTTTATCGCATAATACAAGCTTCCTCGGTGGAAAATGCGATTAACGATTGTTTGGGAGTAGTTTTATGTTTTGTCCGATTACCAAAACTTATTCTTAAAGGCCTTTACAAGAACTTCATGAAATTGTTTCAGCGATTTTGTAAATATTTAACTATATGGCTTACCATTCGATCAGCTTCAAAATATTTTCAAAGATCTGTATCGAATTCTATCTGATACGTTTTTCACAAGATCCACCGCTCTTAGATCGCATGTTCCTCTAGGTCTAGGCCATAGGTTTAACTAACTAAGTTTATTTTACATGGCCGCAAACACTTGATTCCATCTTTAGTTTTCTTATTCGACGGACTTTCAACTTATTTTTAAATATCTCTGTAAAATTGAACTTTAGACGTTGAGTTCAATGTGGTACGGGTGGATTTAAATGTTTCGCGGGCGGAAAATGGGTGAAAAAGTTATATCTAAAATTTGAAGCACAGAACCTGCCTCGGAAAAGGCCGGAAAATATATATAGGATATATACAACATTTTAAACGAACTAAGATTTAAGTTATATTTCTCAAGTATTTCACCCAGAAATGAGTATATTTAAGTAATTATCCAGAGGTTTGCATAGCTGCTGTCGTCTCAGTTCCTAGGGTATACAGAGTGCGTTGTGTACGCGCATATGTTTTTTGGCTTTTTGGATTACATATTATTATTAAGTCAGTTCACAAGCTAGGTGAACACTCGGTTCGAGTTAGGAGGACGTTTGGGGAAACGATGCTAAGCGTTGCCAGGCCACAAAATTTGTTTGTGATTATGCCCAACCGCAGACCGGAAAAGTGGGTGGGAAGGGGCGTGTGTGTTGTGCTGAGCTGTGCTGTGTATTATGTAGGTACACATATTTTTAATCATCATTAACAATAATTCGAGAAATACTTTTAATTTTTTTCCGTTTCCTTCTTGTACCTGGCGCAGGGCTCAAGACGACGCCGACGTAAAAGAGTTGGCATGGGTGCACTTGGGTTTTGTCTTACGAAAGGGATAACAGCATGGCATGGCATGTGTGTGTGTGCGTGTGTTGTGTGTGTTGTGTGTGTGGGGGTTGGGTGTGTGTGTGTGCGGTGTGTGTTTGTGCTGCTTATTCCCCGCGCTACTTGCTGCCACTTCTGCCTCAATGACATTGCACTTACTGCTCCGTCGTCGCGGCAAAAAGATTTATGAAAATATTGCGTTTGGAGCTGTTGCTGCTACCCTACCGCTACCCTCCTGCCCCCGGCTCCGACGACCACTGGCATCGTTCTGCTGGCTTCCTCAGGGATTGTGTTGCCTGCGGTATGTGTTGTAGGAGAGCATTGGGGGTAGGTGTCTTTTGCTTGTGTGCAATATTAATTATTATAGGCGAGCCACCCACACAAATAAATCATAAATTAAAAGCCAAGACGCAGTGCCGTCCAAGCAGAAAGCGTCCCAACCCCAACGCGTGGCCCAACCCTCTTCCTGGCCCCATAATAAACAATTTTTATCATTAAACGCATTTGATAATTAAAAATTGTCATTTTTTAGCAGCGCTCGCTCTTCTGAAATATCATTTTTCTCATATAATTTTTTTCTTTTAATTTTTTCTTCGTTTTTTGGTTGCAAAAATATTAAATTACCAAATGGGTGTGCTTCGGACAGAGGGTTGGGGCCTGGGCTCTGGGGCAAGGGGTGTTTCGTGGACGTATACAAAAGCAACGGCATTTATCATTTTGCCAACTGTTTGTTTGATAAGGGGACACACAAAATTAAAAATATAATAAAAAAAATACTCAGCTAAAAAACGCAAAGCACATAAATAAAAATTAATTGGTGACCAAAAGAAAAACAAAAAAAAAACAAAAAAGTGATTGTAAAACTAAGTTAAAAGGCACATAAATATTACTTAAAATATATTTTGAAAGTGGATGTGACCCAAATGAGATAAAGAAAATGCGTAATTTGTAGATTTCTAAGCCAACTCACTTTCCCACTATCTCTCTCTCTCTATCTCTCCCTCTATATATCCCTCTCGCTTGGTCTTATCCTTTCCCTAATGAAATGAAATGTTCCAGGTAATATAAACATTTTCCTTTTCAAACTTTGGGTTTAGTTTCAGGACATATCATACATTCTATGCACTACACCCTCAAGTTGTCTTCTCCCCTTTTCGTGCAGTTTCCCTATTTTTTCTTTCGCTCTCTCTGCCTGAATCTCTTCTGTTTCGAATGTCTTGCAAAGTTCTTAAGGTTTCAGTTCATTTAATTTTATGAGGTTTTCGATTTCGTTTCACAAAAATTGCAATTCTATTCAAACGGGGGCAACAGAACCATTCGATGTAATGCATCCTTTGCTCGAATATTTACTTTTAAAATTGTTAATCTAATTTCACTGTGGCTTTCTCTCCATCCAACTTTCACTCTCTCTCTCTGGTCTGTCAGACGCCATAACAATAAGCATCAGAATACTCGTTACGGGCAGACAGATGCCAAATTGTAGCTGTAAATGTGCTGCCAATTGATGCAGCTACCCGCCATAAAAACAACTTGAAATCGCTGTATAAATAAATACTTAAACGGAATTCAATAGGTTAAGACTGTATTTTAACTTGGCGTGCAGCGAATCTTGTCTATAAAACACTTCAGATTTAGTAGGCTTGAGAAAAGTGGCTAATCAGTATTGTTAGGTATTTTTAAAGATCATGAGAATCGCATTGAAAGGCGATACCCAATCGACATTTGAGACGCAGAGAATGTACTGGTATGAGTAAGGGAAAATAGAGCGATAGAGAGCGAGATGTGGAACAAGCTTGAGAGAGCAGTCAAATAATAACGCAAAACATTCTTGTGCGAAATTCGCAAAAAGGGCGATATTAAGATGACGGACTGAGAGAGAGAGAGTGGGAGTGTTACATAAGGTTCATATTGATTTAGGGAGATGATTTGACCAAGAATATATATAAATACTTAATTGGGTCGGCGATGTGTTCTTCTGCTTGTAAAACTGATTAAAGGTAACTGTATTATATCCTTCCAACCCATTTAATACTATAATACAATAGTTATTTAAAATTTAATAACGTATTAAATCATATAATAACGCAAATAAATGCATTACGCATAATTTTTCAGAAATTACCAACACTCATAAATTGAATATGAGAAGAGGAAAAGCAGAAAAGAAGGCACAAAAAAATGAAA